ACCCTCGGGATCTGAGTGTGGATTGGACTGCTGCTCCCGACTGCACTCCACCACCAGTAACAGGTTCCCGTGGCGGGAAAAGAGGCGCTTCTTCTGGAACCAAACACGGGCTGCTGGCAACACGGCCCCAGCCCGGCCCCGGCACCGGTGCCGGGAGGACACTGGCTCCCAGCCCTGGCCCCGGCGGGCACCCAGGTGCGCCCCCATCTGGCCGCCCACTGTGCCGGCTCTGAGGGAAGCAGACTCCCCCCCAGACCCGGAGCCGACCGCGTCCTGGCTGCGGGCCCTGGAGGCCCCCCTGTGCTGGCCTTGAACCTGGAGGAGCTCCGGGAGGACCTGCATCTGCCCCAGCGGAGGGCGGGGACGAGGGCGCGGCGCCCAGACCTCACCTTGGCCTGAGCCTGAGCCTGGGAGGCCGGAGCGGAGACGCACGGGGCCGGAGCGGGTGTTTGGGCCCCTCGGGCGGCAGCTGCAGGCTCTGCGCTCACACGGCCACAAAGCCAGTGGTGGGGCCGATGGATGTCCGTGCGAGCCCTGAGCCCCTGCTGCCCTTCCCGTCCGGCCCCTGCAGAGGAGGAAACTGAGGCAGCGGGGGCTGGTGCTGCCTGCGCCAGCTCTGCAGCCTCTCGGCACGCGGGAGGGGGAGCAGGCGGCGGCCTCCGCTCCTCTCGGCAGCCCTGGAGCCCGACTCGCCGTCCTTCTGCATCGGCTCAGCTCGAACCCGCGCCCTGGCGCCCTGGAGACAGGCGGAAAGATGCCGCCCCCCGGGGGCGGGACAACAGGCTTCACCCAGGTGTGCCAGGCTCCCGGCCACAGCTTCTCTGAGGCGGGAAGGGGATGAAGAAGGCCAGCGCTGGACAGACCTGAAGCACCTCAGCTGCCGGAGGCACCCCTGAGAGTGAGAAGGGCTGCCGGGCCCAGAGGGAGGAGGGGAGCCCTGGGGCAGGTGCGGGGGGAGGGGGGGGAGCCGCGGGGCTGGCCACCGAGGCCCTTCTGGCCCTGACAGCATCGCTCCCATGTCCTCAGTTCTCGGATCCAGGCTCCGCATCGGAGGAAACTGTCGTTCCGTGAGTCAGATCAAAATGTATGCAGCCCTGCCGGCGTGGTTGAGCCACCTATGAACCAGGAGGTCACGGTTTGATTCCCGGTCAGGGCACACGCCCAGGTTGTGGGCTTGATCCCCAGTGGGGGGCGTGCAGGAGGCAGCAAATCAATGATTCTCTCTCATCATTGATGTTTCTCTCTCTGTTTCTCTCTCTCTCTCCCCCGCTTCAAAAAAAAGTGTATTTTTTCGCCGCAACCAGTTTGGCTCAGTGGATAGAGCGTTGGCCTGCGGACTGAGGGGTCCCGGGTTCAAGTCCGGTCAAGGGCATGTACGTTGGTTGTGGGCACATCCCCAGTAGGGGGTGTGCAAGGGCAGCTGATCGATGATTCTCTCTCATCGATGTTTCTAACTATCTCTCTCCCTTCCTCTCTGTAAAAAAGCAATAAAATATAATTTTAAAAATGTAAAAAAAAAAAAAAAAGTGTATTTTAAAAAAAATGTATTCAGCCGAAACCAGTTTGGCTCAGTGGATAGAGCGTCGGTCTGTGGACTGAAAGGTCCCGGGTTCGATTCCGGTCAAGGGCATGTGCCTTGGTTGTGGGCACATCCCCGGTGGGGGTGTGCAAGAGGCAGCTGATCGATGATTCTCTCTCATTGATGTTTCTAGCTCTCTGTCCCTCTCTTTCTCTCTGTAAAAAATCAATAAAATGCATTTTTTTTAAATGTATTCAATTTGACTGACATAGTGCTTAAAAAATTTCTCATTAAAAGCCAGATTTCCAGCCTCCCCTGAGAAATCGTAGATTCTGGCCACTCTGCGCCCGTCCTTCACAGGGCGGCAGGGGCTGCAGTCACGTGGCTGCCATGCCTTCCGATGGGCATGAGCTCTGGAGCCCCGCAGTCCCCACTGCTCCCTATCGCCCTCCCACTCCCACCGCCTCAGCCCTGAAGACATGAGTTCCAATCCCTGAGGCCAATGGTCGGCAACCTCATGAGTCCACAGAGCCAAATATCAACAGTTCGACAACTGAAATTTCTCTGGAGAGCCAGATTTTTTCAACTTAAACTTCTTCTAACGCCACTTCTTCAAAACAGACTCGCCCAGGCCGTGGTATTTTGTGGAAGAGCCACACTCAAGGGGCCAAAGAGCCGCATGTGGCTCGTGAGCCACAGTTTGCAGACCACGCACGGCCTTAGCCAAACCTGGTCTACGACCTTACCCTGCTGCCCCTGCTCCTGCCAGCCGGGGGGCCTTCGGGGATGGGGCCTCGCCTGTGCGATGGCAGCGGCGCCGGGAGGAGTCAAAGTTGGGGGAATGAGGGTAGAAGTTCAGGTGCCTCTTGCAGACCCTCTCTGTGGGCGGCTGTCCCCAGCGATCTGCTGTGGCTGAGACCTGGCCGGGATCGTACCTCTGACCTCCCCGCATGAACCTCAGGGAAGCACCCCGTCTCCTCCGCCTGCAGGAGCCTGTGGGCTCCCTCGGCCAAAGAAGCCGCCGAGAAAGGCAGCCACGACCCCCTCCTCCCGGGGGCAGCTGCCCGCACCCACACGGCCCTGTGGGGAGGCCCGGCCCCCCCGCCTCTGGGGCCACCTCTCAGGTAAGAAGCCAAAGCCGCTCTGTCTTCCGGCCCCTGGCCTTCAGGGGAAGGCCCTGCGGCGGATTCGGAGCCCGCACTCTGCTGCCCTCGCCCCCCGAGCTGCGGGCGCTGCAGTGGAAGAGACGGGAGAGGAGGAGTCAGCGGGGGAGGGAGGCGGAAAAATTAAATTTTGCATCATCAGCAAGGTTTCAAACAATCGCTCGCCAACTGAAGTGGGTGCCACGTCCATAAGTCATCCTGTTTTATAGACCATTAGGATCTCCAGAGAGAACCTGCGCGGAGACCACTGCTTTTTGTTGAAATTAAAATGTCAGGGAAAAAGAAATAGAACAAAACAGGGAATCTGCAATTAATTACCAGGCCATAAAAATTCAATAATCAGGAGGCAGCACGGCCGCGGGCCCAGAGGTATCAGAGCCAGCGTAACAAGAATGGAATACATTAATCTTTTCAAATTAGTTTTTTAATCTGACGGGGATATATGGTGACATGCCTCCCCTCCCCGCCAGCCCTCCTGCCCCCGCCCCCGCCCCCTTCCCGGGCTCCAGACCGAGGCCAGGCCAGAGCGGGAGGTGCCGGTGTGAGGAGGGGAGCTGCCACAGCTGGACCCCAGACAGGGGAGGGAATGGGGTGTGCAGCCCCAGCTGAGCCCAGGGCCCGCTTGCCGGCTGGCCCGGGAGGGTCCCCGGCCGCGGTGCCAGGGAGTGGCTCCAGCCGAGGCCCCGCTGAGCCAGAGCAGCTCATCCGCGCGTCCCAGCTCTGGAGGGGGTCCGAGGGCCTGGGGGGCACGCCTAGGGAGGTGGTCTCTGAGCTTTGGTTTCCTCTGCTGGGCAACAGAACAGTGTCACGGCCTCACAGGGACGCCCGGGGCTCAGTAAAAGCCCCCTGCTGCTTCCATGCTCCCTGTCTAGACTGCAGCTCAGGCTGCAAGGAGCCCGAGGCACCGCCAGCACACAATCCAGAGCCTTTATTTAGCGCCGGCTGTGTGCTCAGCTCCGGGAGAGGAGACCAGCAGCCTCAGGCCTGACCCTGGGGACAGAGGGACATTTATAGGGCCAGGCAGGATGCAGAGGGTCGATGGGGAAGTGGCTCTGAGCAGGACGCTGGGAGGAGGTGGGCCACCAGCACCCAGGTCCAGCCACGGAAAGCAGGGCCTCCCCGCACCTCTGGCCGGGCCTGATTGGAGCCACGTCCCAGAACTGGGCCCCTGCGTGGTTCCCACCACTACGGTCAGTCCGGTGCTCCGAGTTTGTCTCCAGCTGGGCCTGGTCTTCAGCCTCAGCCAAGGCTCTCTCACTAACGGATCCTCCCCCCAACAAGCCTGCCTCCGGGCCTTGCTGGTGCTGAGCCCCGCCTGGCAAGCCCCCGGGGGCGCCCTAGCCTGTGGGGTTACCAGCTGGGACTATGAACAAACCCATTTCACAGAAGAGGAAATGGTGAGGCTGGGGGTGCTCACAGGTAGGGTGTGTCCTATAGTCTCCGAACCCAGCCTCACTAGTACAAGCCAGGGCAGGCTGTTTCTCCCGCCTCGTCCAGAGCTAGGCGCATAGTAGGTGTTCAACCAATGCTAACTAGACGGTGACCCTGTAGAACAGACTTGCAAGGGGCCTCAGCTGCCCTCCAACCTCTTCCCTCCCCAAGATGCCACCACTCCTACCTCGAATCGCAACAGCAGCTGTCATTTATTGAGCACCTACTGTGCGACAGGCTGTGGGATCTGGTGCCATTTGCAACAAGACTGTGGTCCCCGTTTTCACAAAGGAAACTGAGACTTAGACTGAAGGGCCCCAAGAGGTCACACTCATGTCTCCTTGGCTCCCAGGGGTCTAAATCAGGACATCTCAACGCCCATCAACCCGACCTGCACAGAGCTCTCCAGTCGGCATCTCATTGTGTACCCCCAAACCCGGTTCTTCACTCCTTCAACCTGATACCCTTGGTCATCTCTCCTCTGATCCTCTCAGGAGCTTTGATTTCTACCACTTTTTACTCCTTACTCTCCTGCTACACCGAGGGCCCCCTCAGCCTCCCACACGTGCTCCAAGAGTCTCAGCAGAAACGGTGGTGACGAGGGAGAAGCATATCAGGATTTTCCTCCCTGACCAAGGCTCCCACACCCTGCAAGCAGGGAATTTCCCCGCCGGGCGAAGTTCCGAGAGCAGCCACCAGATGGCGACCGACGCTCTCTCGGGCAGGGCTTGCAGTAAGGCTGCGCGGCCGCCAGATGGAGCCCGAGGCCGCAGTCGGCCAGCAGTGCGGGGGACGAGGCAGAACAGGAAGGCCCGAGGGTCCGCGTGCCGCCCAGGGAGGGAGCGCGAGCGCCAGGGACTTGGCCACCGCCGCGCCCTGCCCGCGCCATGATCCAGCCGATGCCCCGGCTCTCGGTGCCCGCCGCGCTGGCCCTGGGATCGGCCGCTCTGGGCGCTGCCTTCGCCACCGGCCTTTTCCTGGGTGAGTGGAGCCGCGCTGGGGCTCCCCGTGCAGAGGCCCCGCGGGCGGGGCGGGGCAGAGCCCGGGTCCCCGGGCTGCTGCTGCGGCTGAGGCTCGCCCCCGGCGGGCGCGTTGGGGTCCCAGGCCCTGACCCAGCACCCCTCCCTCCCCGCAGGGAGACGCTGCTCTTCGTGGCGGCTCCGGCGGGAGAAGCGGCTGCTGCCCCCCGAGGACAGCCCCCTGTGGCAGTACCTGCGGAGCCGCTCCTTGCGGGAGCACCCGGCGCTGCGGAGCCTGCGGCTGGTCAGCGGGGGCGGGGCGGGGGCGGGCGCCCACCCGGCCACCCGGCAACCCCGGCCCCGCGGGTCCCACGTGGCGGCGTGACCTTGGGCTGGGCGGGGCCCGGGACCCACTCGCTTCCGCGCTCCCGGGCCGGGCGCCGTGGGCGTTCCCGGGGCCGGGCGCTCCCCGGGGCGGCGCGCACAGCCAGCCCCGCGGAGGGGGCCTCCGCCCGGGGGCCCGGCAGAGCTGGTGCGACCCTCTCTCCCCCCCGCACACACAGCTGACCCTGGAGCAGCCGCGGGGAGAGGCCATAATGACCTGCGAGCAGGCCCAGCTTCTGGCCAACCTGGCGCGGCTCATCAGGGCCGAGAAGGCGCTGGACCTGGGTAGGGCGCGCGGCGCGGCGCGACCCCCGGGGGTCTGATCACCGCCGGCCCCTCCCCGCTGCGGCTGAGCCCGTCCCTGTCCCCGTCCCCAGGCACCTTCACGGGCTACTCGGCGCTGGCCCTGGCCCTGGCCCTGCCCCCGGCCGGGCGCGTGGTGACCTGCGAGGTGGACCCGGGGCCCCCGGAGCTGGGGCGGCCCCTGTGGCGCAAGGTGAGTGTCCCTCCCTCCCAGGTCCCCGGAGCCCGGGAAGGACACGCCGGCCCTGACCCCTCTCCATCCGCAGGCCGAAGAGGAGCACAAGATGGACCTGCGGCTGAAGCCCGCCCTGGAGACCCTGGGTGAGCACCGGTGCGGACGGGGCCCTCGGGGGCACGCTGGTGGCCGGGCCCTCCGGCCGGCCCGGGGCAGCGACAGCCCCACGGGACGCGGCCACAGGCAGGTGGCGGCAATGCTGGCGGCGTCCTGGAGGCCCGAGTCCCGAGTGGTCACAGCAGCAGGACTGGCCCTGGCCGGGCTCAGCCACATCTGCCCTCCCCTCCTCCTCCCCCGCAAGACGAGCTCCTGGCCGCGGGAGAAGCCGGCACCTTCGACATCGCCGTGGTGGACGCCGACAAGGAGAACTGCGCCCTCTACTACGAGCGGTGCCTGCAGCTGCTGCGCCCGGGAGGCGTCCTGGCCGTCCTCAGGGTGAGGATTGGGCTCGGGAGGACACTCAGGCTGGGGGTCCCCTTCCCCTGGCCCCGCCCGTGCCCGCCCCGGGCCCAGGTAAGCTCCTCCCTCGAGGCGTTCCAGCCAATCCCTGGGCCTAGGGCTCACCAGGCTCTTCAGGCTCCAGTCCGCTCCCCGCCTCCCGTTAGGGCTCCGGCCTTGGGGCACCGCCCTGACGCCCGCCCCCCGCAGGTGCTGTGGCGGGGAGAAGTGCTGCAACCCCAACCGCCAGACTTGGAAACCCGGTGCGTCCAAAACCTCAACGAGCGCATCCTGCGCGACGCCCGGGTGCACATCAGCCTCCTGCCCCTGGGCGACGGCCTCACCTTGGCCTTCAAAATCTAAGGTAGCCCCAGCGATGGCCTCCATGGAGGGGACCTGGGAACCCCGGCCATCGACCCGAGTTTTAAATCTGCCAATAAAGTGGGTCCGAGACACAACCTCTGAGCTTCCACTGAAGTGGGGTAGGCAGGGGAGGCCCAGCACAGGCTTCCGGAGCAAAAGGCAGCCTCCGGGTGAGCAGCTCCCCCTCCCAGGCAGTCCGGCCGCCCTGGCCCCAGGCCTGGCCGCTGCCTAGAGGCTGGGCGGAAGGAAGTTTTAGAGGACCCCGCTCCTCAGGCGTGCCTCTGCTTCCCGGCTCAGGGCTAGGTGCTGGGTACAGCCGCCTTGGTCTCGCTGACATCTTTCTAGGAAGGAAACCTGAATGTCCAGTGCAGCTGGGACCTGTGGGGAACCATGCCTGGGATCTGACAACGGGCCTCGCAGGGGAGGTGAGCCCAGTTCAGCCAGCCACTTGCCCATGTCTTCACGTAAGCTCAGCCTCACCTCTACAAACCAGGCCATTTGGCTTAGACGAGAGGACTTAGAGGTTGACTTCAGTATATACCCTGTTCTCCCCCCGGCCCGCCCAAGTGCTGAAGGTGAGGGACTGGGTGGGATCGCTGGCCAGTGGTGTGAAGCAGACCAGCCTACATGTATGGCAACTGCTAACAAGTGCCCAGAGGAAGAGTTAGGCTTTCCAGCACCAGTGCCCGTGAGCAGGTGGCGGCAAGGGAGCCCAGTGATTTTTTGTTTAAACTTTCCCAAATCCTGTAGGACGTCCAACCAACAGATGAAGGTCACGTTCAGCTAGTAAGTGTTCTCACTAACCCTGCCTCCGCCTAGAATAGTTAGGTTTTGCTACAACCTGGTAAGGCCTGGAGGTGTAAGTGCACTGGCGTGGGCTATAAGCAAAGCCACAGGAGCCCCATGTGGCAACTTCTGCAATCTTACCGGCCCTGTAATATACCTTGTTTCAGCATCTCTCAGCCCCTGGCTATAAACCCATCCTCTCCCCCACTAAATGCACATAAGGTGCCTGTAGGTGGGCACGTCTAATTTTGTCTGTGTAGACCATTAGCAAACTGGCATCTCATTTGTGCCACACTCCGCAACGTATGGTTACACCCAGTCGAGTAATGGCCTCAGCATGAGGGAGGGCCACCAGTCAGCTTAGGGGCCACAGGCCATCCAGGGGCCCCAGGTGTTGCCAGGCCAGGGAACCCTCTCTCCTGCCCACCCGACCACCACCAGCAGTTTGAGACTTTCATACCTTTCTTTAAAATATTTTTTTTTATTGATTTCAGAGAGGGAGAGGAAGGAAACGTCAATGATGAAAGAGAATCATTAACTGGCTGCCTCCTACACACCCCCTACTAAGGATCAAACCTGCAATCTAGGCATATGCCCTGACAGGAATCAAACTGTAACCTCCTTGGTTCACAGATCAACGCTCAACCAGAGCCACACTGGCCGGGCTACTTCGTACTACGTGTCCCCAAGCACAAGAGGTGCTTTCAGTTTTTCCTCACCTAGCAATAGGCCCAACTCAAATAAATTGGTTCAAATCCAGCTTTCTGCCATTAAGTCATGTGTGTCTGATTCATTCTAGTCAGTCCCTTAGGACGAACAGTGAGGCCAGAAGGCATCTTTGTGCCCCCAGCACACCTGGGAGGGGCTTTTACTTAACCTTCTAATTCCTCATCATTCTTAACCAGGAAATTTTCAGCAACAACCACTTTTTGAGTAATGAGTCTCAAAGCACTATCCTATCTGTTCTTTATCTGTACTTTAGGTCTGTATAATGAATTTAGGTCTGTTTAAATCTCCCTTCTTTAACCGTTGTTCCCATCCTTCAAACTAATCCTCCCATCAAAAAACTTACCTACTTTTCCACCAAAATCATCCATTAATCTCTATTATGCAGCACGGGTCCAGATGAAGGCATGGGCCACACGGACTGAAGATGTTGCCTCTGGCCACAAATTCAGGCCCAAGCTTTACAGTCAGGAAACTGCCCCTCACTGGGCCTATATACTCCTCTCCCCGTCCCTCTGGATCTGGGTACTGTCTACACCTTATTTCATCTTCCTACACCTAGTCTCCTCTCCCCTAGTCATTATCCATAGCGATAGCGCACAGGGGTATGGTGTGTGTATAAAACTTCTGGCACTACCCTTCATCACTTTCTCTCCAGTGCCTCCTGCAGTTAACAATGACTCAATGTAATTCTGCACAAACTTACAAGCTGAAGATGTAAAAGGCATATATATCCTCTTACTTTGTGACCTAAAAAGCTCACAGAGTTACTCTAGGGACACACAGTGTGGCACAGGTTTTGGTAAAGAGCAAAATGCTCACTGGAAAAATTAAATATTAGCTAGATAACCAGGGAGATTTGACCCTGGCTAGCAAACTTTTAACTCTGCAAATACTTGGAGTCATTAATTACATATAGTTATTTTATTCATAATTTGTCGTTTTAGGATACCAAAAGTTATTCTAATAGTTGAAATTAACAAGAAAAATTTAACCTCATCTTAAATTTGCTGATCCATTTCATTCAATGGCAATATTCAATGTTAAAAGGAACATAAAAACAACATGCACACAATTGTACAGTTTTCATAAAGGTCTATTTCATTATTGGTATGGGTAGCGCATTTAACAGTTAAATACATTAAATAATGTATAGGTGACTGCAGGACTGCCGCATTGGTAACTAGATAACCAATTCAACTAGAAACCAGCTAACAAGTAACTGTCTACATACATATTTAAAACACAGCTCTTGTTTAGCTCATCCTGTTTTGATCACCTTCTTGGAGGGAAAAAAGCCTGCTGGTCACACTGGAAATATATTAAGGCCAAATCTTCTGATATCCATTCCCAGAGGTTGCTTTCAGCTGGATTAAGCCTCCAACTCCAGGGCAAGCCCCAGCTTGTGGCCACCAGCATTAATGCTCTTCCCATCTACCAGAGCAGACAGTGTGAGCTTCACGCCTGTAAACAAAAGCAGACAAGCAGGATGTGAATGAAACACCTCGTGAGAACCTACAGTCTTCTTCACTACGTGCCACAGCCTGCCTATCACTTTTCCTCCGCCTGTCAGATGACCTGTTAGTGCCAGCCACCAGAGGGCACTTCTGAATACCTGAGCTAGCAGAGAGAATTCTGCTGACACCATCCCTGGTAAGGTAACATAAAAATGTTAATTATAAAGTACAAAGTGCTCTAGAAAATGGAAGGGAGGGAGGGAGGGGAGGGAGGGGAGGGAAGGGAGGAGAAGGAGAGAAGGGAGGGGAGGGAAGGGAGGGGAAGGAGGGAAGGGAGCGGAGGGGAGGGGAGGAAAGGAGGTACAGCGGCCTTGGTCTCTCTGACATCTTTCTAGGAAGGATACCTGAATGAAGGAAAGGAAAGGAAAGGAAAGGGAAAGGGGAAGGGGAAGGGGGAAGGGAAGGGGGAAGGGAAGGGGGAAGGGGGAGGGGGAAGGGGGAAGGGAGAAGAGGGAAGGGGGAAGGGAGAAGGGAAGGGAGGAGGGAAGGGAGGAGGGAAGGGGGGAGGGAAGGGGGGAGGGGAAGGAGAAGGGAAGGGAGAAGGGGAGGGGAGGGAGAAGGGAAGGGGGGAGGGGAGGGGAGGGGAGGGGAGGGGAGGGGAGGAAGGAAAATACAAAATTTTGGCCAAAAGTAAACGTGCGTTCATTGTACTCTTTTGTCAATTTTGAATGATTAAAAGGTTTGTAAAATAGGAAATAAAAATTTTTATAACACTATCAGAAAAACCATACTTTATCAAGAATACTTACCAGGCCTCAGAGTCTGAGTGTAGCCCACTCCAATTAAACTAGAGTTGTTGACTTTTGCCTAAAATAAAATGCAAAAACTATTAAGAAAAGCTTTGGAAAGGAGACAAAATCCCATACATGTTTCCCTATCATGCAATTATAGTGTGTTAAGCCTTTTTATTCACATAATAAAATGTAATTAGTTATTAAGCCAAACAAAAACCAGGTACCACTTAATTCTTGTCCATTAAACTCAAAGTCAAATTGCCAGTCAGACACAACACTCACCACATCTACTGGAATGTGTCTACAGACCTAAAAAGCTCACATAGCACAAGAGCCTAAGCATTCTCATAAGAATCATCCTGTTGAGTCTAATCTAGCAAAATTAAAACACATCACAATGTGGTAAATGGTAGCCCACTGGGCTCACTAGCTGTATGACAGTCTCAAAGTGTGGGGTGTGAAGTTTAAATTTATAACTTCAACACAGCACTTTCAAAGTCGTCCTAAAGAATCAAAACCATCAATGTTCAAAATCTCCAAATGCTACATACTTCCTCTAAGAATACGACTGACTAAACTCTTTACCTCACATTACCACCTGAGTCTTGGTCGTATGTAACTAGACTGTGTGGGAAGATGTACCAACGAAGCATCATTACCAATCCAAGTCCCTGCCCACCTTGCATAATTCTATTATTTTAGGATTTAGTAACAGACCTTCATGGGCTGAAAGGAACCCTAGAGAACAAGACACAGTAACAAGTAGCTGCATTCTCCCCCACTAATATCATAAGCCATCTCTAGGGCCTAGGAATGCTATGGTAAAAGGTAACAAACTCTGAGTTCAAAACAGATTTAGAATTGATTTGATGTCTACACTCTTTTACAAAGTGTATCATCAAAATAACCCAATCCAAGCCCAGCTGGTGTGGCTCAGGGTTGAGTGTTGTGAACCAGGAAATAATGGTTCAATTCCTGATCAGGGCACAAGCCACGGTTACAGGCTCAATCCCCAGTAAGGGACAAGCAAAAGGCATCTAATCAATTATTCTCTCTTCACTGATATTTCTCTCTCCCCCCCTTCCTCTCAATAAAATTAAAAAATAACACCCCTCCCCAAAAAAACCACAGCCGAACCCAGAGACAGAAATGATGTAACTATACAGGCAGAGGTCACATTAAACTGCACTTATATTCTGTTGACACAACAGTCAAGTTCTCATAAGCCGCCAACAACCACGTGAGTTCTCAGAAAGAAATGGGCCACCAGTGACCATCTTGTGCCCAACAAATTTAAGAGCCTCAGTTAATTGGATTTAAGTTCCTACTACTTTAGAGTCAACCATGACACTGTGATGCAGCATTAAGCAATAGCCGAAGGTGATGCCTGACTGGGGCAACAGCACTGCTTAGGTGGGAAGTGGTAGATACATTTCCAAATAACCCAGGAATCACTCAATGGCACCCAGGCCCCAGCTTCCCCTCCCACTTCAGACTATAGGAGAGCTGCCTATTTTGCTGGCATTGACTCTGTGGTGGTGCCATAGGCATCTACCTAAAGAGAGTAAGTAACAAAGTAACTATCACAGAGTAATGTGCCGTGTGAATCCTGCCACGGTGCAATTAGAAACAGAGAAGGGAAAATAAATGAACCACTTCCTTGACAATGGGAAAAGCATTCTGGGTCCTTCTCATTTCCTGAATTCAACTGCACTAAAATAAAACAAGATTGAGGCTAAAACTTAACTGCCTAAATTATCAAAACACTGTCTTCAAAATGAAGATTATTTTATGTAACAAATAATTCTCATGGAAGGTTTAACTTTCTTTCATTCCCAGTACATTGGGTATAGGCAGTCCCTGACCTGTAAACACTGACAGAGGAGCAGCTGCTGATCTGCATGAAATTGGAACCTACCCTGTACCCCCACTGTAACTGAAGGAAGAAAGCCTAAGGACAGGGTTAGGGTGGCCACCAGACTCTGTTAACCTGGGATACAGAACTTTCAGTGATAAAGCTGGTATAGGCCCAGGCAAAGCAGGACGACCTAGCTGGTCACCCTAGACAGGAAGAAAATCAAAAGACAAGCAGTCTTGCCGAAACCAGTTTGGCTCAATGGATAGAGCGTCGGCTTGGGGACTGAAGGGTCCTGGGTTCGATTCCGGTCAAAGGCATGTACCTTGGTTGCGGGCACATCCCCAATAGGGGGTGTGCAAGAGGCAGCTGATCGATGACTCTCTCATCGATGTTTCTAACTATCTCTCTCCCTTCCTCTCTGTACAAATTCAATAAAATATATTAAAAAAAAAAAAAAAAAAAAAAAAAAGGACAAGCAGTCTTATCCTGACTCTAACTTCTCCCTTCCATCCCATCCTTTGTTAGTACTGGTTTAAGTTCTTTCTTCAACTACAAAGTGGCATATAAACTACTGAACACTGAGAGCAAATCTGAAGATATTTTGCAAAGCATAAAAAGATAAAGTCAGCCAAAACCGGTTTGGCTCAGTGGATAGTGTCGGCCTGCGGACTGAAAGGTCCTGGGTTCGATTCCGGTTAAGGGCATGTACACTGGTTGTGGGCACATCCAAAGTGGGGAATGTGCAGGAGGCAGCTAGTTGATGTTTCTCTCTCATCGATGTTTCTATCTCTCTGTCCCTCTCCTGTCCTCTCTGTAAAAAAATCAATAAAATGTATTAAAAAATAATAATAAAAATAAAGTCAAAGTATCAATTGAAGTATATACTCCCCAGCGGGAAAAGGACCCAAAACACTGGCTTCCTTGGGCTTAGGCAACCTTAGGACTCAGGGTTACTAGTTATATGGTTTTGAGGATTACTGTAACCTAGATTATCAAATTTCTAACACTATCTCCATAAAAAAGCAATATTCAAAGTTCTAATCCCAATCTGTGTGTAAACTGGAGATTCTATGAACCACAACTCACACTATCAACACAGTAATTCAAAAGACCCAAAGATTTATTTCCATAAATATATAAATAAATAAATATATATATATATATATATATATATTCTAAACCCATATATACTAGTACTTACAGAAATGGAAGCAGTGCAATCCAACTGATATTTAGCTGCAATACCAAAGCGAGTGCTGTTGGTACCCGAAGTCCAAGCAAGGTTTACTGAAGTGTCAAGATCTTCACATACTTTCTGATAAATTGAGCCTCCAAATTCTGTCCCATCATTGCTATAAGATATTTTAGATTAATAAATCTAGAACAGACAATTTAATGTCTAAGACACTAGGTTGATACTATAGTAGCATTACATTTAAATAAAAGCCCTTGCTCACTAGGGTCTCTAGTGTTCCACTGAAAATTTTCATTTTAAAAGGTCTTTTCCTGCGGACTGAAAGGTCCCATGTTCGATTCCGGTCAAGGGCATGTACCTTGGTTGTGGGCACATCCCCAGTGGGGTGTGTCCAAGAGGCAGCTGATCGATGATTCTTTCTCATCAATGTTTCTAACTCTCTATCCCTCTCTCTTCATCTCTGTAAAAAAAATCAATAAAATATATTAAAATTTTTTTAAAAATAGCCGGCACCGGTTTGGCTCAGTGGATAGAGCGTCGGCTTGCGGACTGAAAGGTCCCGGGTTGATTCTGGTCAAGGGCATGTACCTTGGTTGCGGGCACATCCCCAGTAGGGGGTGTGCAAGAGGCAGCTGGTCGATGACTCTCATCGATGTTTCTAACACTCTGTCCCTCTCTCTTCCTCTCTGTGAAAAATCAATAAAATATATTTTTTAAAAAATTTAAATAATAAAAATAAATAAAAGGTCTTTTCCCAACCTATGTCCAAAAACAAGGATTGGTCAAATAGATCCAGTGGAATTACTAGCCACTAACAATCATGTTGTAGAATACTTAATGCTATCGGAACATGATCAAAATATATTAAATACTAAGGTAAGAAGAAAAGGGGGTTATAAAACAGCCTTTTCGTATGTATTTTATGTATATACATATAAAAAGGTAAAACATTAACAATTAACAAAGATTATATACCTAAATGGTAGGATTATATGAAATTTTAGTTTTCTTCTTTGTATTATTATTTACCTTCTTTGTATTATTATTTTTCTTCTTTGTATTATTATTATTATTATTATAACAAAATACATTATTTTGTTATAAGAAAATACTTTTTCAGTCCTTTTGACATATACATGTAATGTGGATTAGGCAAAAACACCATACATTTCAGACAATCCTATCAAATCAGCACCTCACACATCATGGACAAATAACCCAAATAAATGCACTACCGTGTTTCCCTGAAAATAAGACATCCTCCGAAAATAAGACCTACTTACAGGTTTCCTTCTGAGTGAAATATAAAGCATCCCCCCAAAAATAAGGCCCACCTAGGCTCTGTCTCAGAATGCTATTGCTAAACATGAGATTTGGTCCACTGATTCTGAAAGAAATGGAGTCACAAGAAATTCACCAGGAAATTCAGGAATTGGATTGTTATGATGATGTTGCAGAAGATGTTGTTGACATGATTGTCATTGGATAAATGAGTAAATTCTTGATACTGTAGGATACAGTTTGTCTGGTTTGTGTTGACAACTACCGTACTACCGTATACAGGTAATAAATTTCCTTTATTTTCATTTAACAATAAATGTGTACTGTATTCTTCTTCATGGAAAAATAAGACATCCCCTGAAAATAAGACCTAGCACATCTTTGGGAGCAAAAATTAATATAAGACACTGTCTTATTTTCGGGGAAACTGGGTAATAGAATATGGCAATGTCTTAGCTTCTCCTAACATTTTTAACTATTCACTTTTGAAGGGCACCCTAGAAATGCCCACAGATGACCTCTTTATATGCTAAAAGAAATCCTTTAGGTTTGACCTAGATTAATAAGAAATGACAGAAGATATCAATGTCATCCTGAGAACTTACACCCTAAAATCCCACAAAATACTCACACATTAGTGTGCAGCTGGAAGTCCCCAGTCCTATAGCCCACTGCAAAGTTATTCCTTGTAAGCTTTGATTTGGCACTGTCAAAGGTCATCTGGTATCCAGCAAGCCAGCCTTCATAACCAAAGACAGCTGAACCATGGATTGCAGGTCCAGCAAAATCAAAGTCAACATCGCATCCAAGGTTTATACATTCCCTCTTGTAAGAAGACTTGATTTTACCACTTTTCTTTCTGGAAAAAAAACAAACTGACTTAAAACGAATGCCAGTGGGAAAGATTTACATAACTTCTGCTAGAGAGGTTAAGACAGACTTAGGTAAACTGCAGTATAGCTGGAGTAAAAAAAAAAGTAGTAGGATAATCATAATAAGTAATATATATATATGGTGTCTTGAAGGGTGTGTGCTGGTTTGTCCTGAAAGTGTTACATTTAATACCAGTCTCTGCAAATGACACCTATCAGGATTTCCAATACTCAAATTGATAATCATTGGAACTGGTTTAGAAGAATGATGCAGAAAGGATATTCAAGTACAATCTGCCATGTCTTTCGTGATTATATCTGATATTACATTTTTCATTGTTCATGAGTTGATGGCCGCTTTATAAAAGATGCCAAGAGTCAGAGGAAATCACCACCACCCAACTAGAATTATCAAGGTTTCATTAGCAAAGATCAAATGGAAGCCTTAGTAATGGAAAAACCAACGGACATCACTTCAGTATAATCTTCTATTAAAACTGGACATCCAGCCCAACCATTGTGGCTCAGTCAGTGGTTGAGCATCAACACATGAGCCAGGAGATCATGGTTCAATTCCTAGTCAGGGCACATGCCTGCGTTGCGGACTCCATCCCCAGTAGGGGGGTGTGTAGGAGGCAGAATGATTCTCTCTCATCATTGATATTTCTACCACTCTCCCTTTCTCTCAGAAAAAAATTAAAACACACAAAAAAAGAAAAAAAACAACAACAACAACAAAACACACACACACACACACACACACACACACACACACACACACCTGAACACCTTTGGGCCTTTTTAAAGTCTCTTGAGCATTTTTATTAAAAACAAATTCTGTCTTTAAAAAATAATAAAATAAAAATTAAACATATACAAGCTCACTAACTAAAAGACAAAGACAAACATGAGATAAGTAGACTGTCATCAGCACAAGAAGGCTGCTTTGCATAACTGACAATCCATCACAAAAGTATATTTGAAACACATTAATTACCTAAGTTACTACCACAATGAAAAGAGGCAGATAGCTGAAGGCGAGCCAACGACAGCAACCATAGTGTCTATGCTCCCAAGGCAGGAACAGAAACTTGCCACAAGGAGCCTGGATAAGCTATCAAACAGTAAATCCGCATCTTTACCAAACATACAGAGGAGGAATGCTTTTGAATTTAAAGCAGATAAAATGTCCATGCTTACCCTGTGTTTGGTGAAAAGGTGGTATCAAATGTCAGTTTCAAACCTTGACAAATCTGTTTAAAGAAAAAGAATGTTTGCAACTTTATTTCCTTTTTGAAATACAAAAATAAAATAATTAATACTAACACATTTTCAAAATGTTACCTGGTCTTCAATTGCGATTTCTGTTCCCAGGGTGTTATCAGTGTTCCATTTCTCTGTGAAAGTCAGACCATACTCACACCATTTATATTTGGTCTCCAAGGTCCCAGTAACTTTACCAGTGTCTGTATTAGATGAACCAGATGTTGTGAATTCCTATTAAGATAATAAATAACTTCATGAACTTTCTCATAAGCATTTAAGAATCCACCGACTACCTTTCTTACACATGCACGCACAGAGAAACCACTGACACACTTAGTAGCTTCATTAATCCTTTTTTTCTAGCTTGGCAAATATTCCTACCCTCTACTACTCAGTATACACAAGTGAAAAATTAATATGTAAATTACTAACTGCTACCTTACTTACAGCTGACATTTCCAACCAATGATAAGTTAGCCTGTATCTAATTCTCAAATGAACAAACTGTACGACTTTCAAGGAAACTTCTACTAAGGTGATTTTATTTGGGATTAAAAATCAGTGCGGGAGGCATGTGGGGGTGCAAAGAGAATGTTTTGGCACTATATCCAATATACTTGATATTGAATGAAACACTAAATAAGCCACTATGGTTATCATAGATCTCATCATTACAATAAAAGTTTACAGTAACATAGATTGTATTTACTACAATTTGTTTCCTTAAAAGTCCTTAAAAGGAAGTATCCCACTGTAGGAATTCACAGGAGTGAACAAATTATTTTTCTAAATTCTTAGCAACCCAATATTCTGTTTCTGTGAGATAAAAAGGATCTTCACCAGGTTTCATGCCTTTCCAGCCATCTTTCACATTCTCATTAAATGGGGAGCTCCAGCCAGTTTAATTCAGTGGGTGGAGCATCAGTCTATGGACTGAAAGGTCCCAGGTTCGATTCCAATCAAGGGCATGCACCTCAGATGCAGGCTCAATCCCTAGCCCTGCTCGGGGGCTGTGTGGGAGGCAACCAGGTGAAATGTCTCACATTGATGTTCTCACTGCCTCTCCCCCTCCCTTCCACTGTCTCTAAAAGTCGACGGAAAGCCCTAGTTGGTTTGGCTCAGTGTATAGATCATCAACTTGTGTACATTGGTCCTGGGTTCAATTCCGGCCAAAAGCATGTGTCTTGGTCACAGGCTCCTCCCCAGCCCATGCCCTGGTCAGGGTGAGTGCAGGAGGCAACCAATTGATGTGCTTTTTCACACCGACATTTCTGTCTTTCCCTCTTTTTTCCACTCTCTAAAAATCAATAGAAAAATATCTTCGGATGAGGATTAAACACACACACACACACACACACACACACACACACACACACAAAAGGGGGGAGGGACAAGCAGGGGAAAGGAATTACAGATTTGCTCTACAACTGGTTTATATCATGCATAATATAAACTAAATTATGGACAATAGATGATATCAGCAGAAGAAATCTAATACAAGGGTCAATTTGAAGTATATTATATATAACTTTATGTTTATAGCAAATGTAAATAACTTGCAAATCCCTAACTGCACACCAACTAAAAAGGAAGGCATAATATGGAGAAGGTTTTATCTGAGATTTTAAATTTGCCAGATAACCCAGAAATCTAGTAATCTTTCAGAGCTCAGTATACAGGCAGGCAGCTGAAATCTTCCAAGATAAAATACTAAAAAGCCCTCTGAGCATAGACTCACAATTTGTCTAATGGCCATAGGGCCACTGGAAAGCCACTTCTAAAAAAAGACAGCTCATCTAAACTAAGAAGGGAAGCTCAACTGAAATTGTGATACCTGCAGAGGAAACTTAAAAAACTGTGCAGTGGGAGAAAAGGCCAATCACCCTTTGTTTAGAAAACAGAACATTTGCCTAAATTGTTCAGCAGTAAAATAGACTAAAAGCATTAGGTCTTATACACAACCTCCTGAAATTAAATGTCTTCATAAACAAGAATTTCAAGCCAAACCCTGGTACTCAAACCACACTGGTAAGTTAGGAAAGAACACGGCTGTAAGATTAGGAGACCTGCATGCATTTGTGTTCACTAAATGTAACACTGAGGAAGACATTTAACTTTTCTGGGTCTCAGCTTCCTCAATCCTGTATGCTAATTAGACCAAACTGCGGGACGACATTCCAGATGAAACTGAACTGCAAGGGCCGAGCCCCTTGCACTAATTTTGTGCATTGGGCCTCTAGTTACAATATAATTCTCTAGAGGATTAAATTGAACTGACACTGAAAGCTTTGCACATGCTCTACCCAAAAGGAAAAGCATTATTAAAACTATATGGAGCAAGTTCTTCTAGCAGGAACCTGAAATGTGGAATGTGTATGAATAGCTATTTTTATTCCTGAGTCACAATGATTAATGATTCTTGAGGTCCCACCCACTACCTTCCATCAATCCATAAATTAAGAGCTCAAGGCACAAAACCAAGATCACACTGTGGAACCAAAACAGGGCCAGATGTAACACCACTGGCGGAGCTTAGACCCTTCACTTCATCACCAGATATTTAGGCTTCTATGTTCTGGGGTGGCCTGGACATTTCTGCAGTTCACGTGAGAAAACGGAACCAGCCATTAATGGGACTTGTTTGTGGCCAAGTATATAGTACAAGATCAGTACCATACTTGTTGAATTATATACAGTAAATGGAAACAAAAACATGCTACAGCATATATAATCCAGCTCCTTTACATCCTTTATGATCTTAAACCTAATTTCATAAAACTTTCCTTAACCTTGTCAACAGTAAGCCCTTCCTTCCTAACAGTTTCATAGATCAAACAATCTAGTACTAGATATACTTCTCTAATTGTTCCCCAGTTTAGTTTATTGTCTCTTTAAAAAGTAAATACTTTTTAAACACAAAACTGTCTTTACTTTTTTTTTTTTAAGGAGGCCTTTTGTGTTTCAACAAATACTCAGCAAGTGTTTATAGAGGTTAAGAGTGGAAACACAAGAAAATAAACCTCGAGTCATTGCTCTGAAACAGGTTATCTTAAACAAGTCACTGATCCACACTGAATACTCAGGCTTCTTTTCAAACCAAAGAAACCAACTGACAGACATGACAAATATAAAATTCCAGAAACTCAAGTCTAGGCATTAACAAACTACAACATAGTTAATTTGAAAACCAGTTACGTGCACTAAGATAATTAACACCTACACCAAGAACTCATCAAAATGACCAATAATATTCAATATGCACACACTATACCCCATCCCCCAAATAATCTCAAAACAGTTTTAGAGGGAGAAAAAAAATATACACAAATTTTTACCTTTCTCCCTTTGAGGGAATTTGCTAGGCAGAATTAAGACATCAAGTACCAAAATATTAACCTCTTTAAAAATATTCAAATCAAGCCTTGCCAGTGTGTTTCAGTGGGTGAACATCAGGGTCTCTGTTAGATTCCCGGTCAGGGTACATGCCTGGGTTGGGGACTGGATCTCCAGGTGTGCATGAGGCAGCTGATTAGTGCTTCTCTCTCATCGTTGATGTTTCTATCTCTCCCTCTCCCTTAATCTCTGAAATCAATAAAAATATGGATTTTTTTTAAATATTCAAGTCAAGATTCTCTGAATTCACGAAACACATGTGAAAATCTCCACAAAAAAGGGCTGCTAGAATATGACCATTATATAAATGATTAGTACACGAAATTTACCGGTAAATCACTGAATAGTTTTATGCCCAGAATTCTTAATGCTTTAATAGGCATTGAAAAAAAAAGGGTTATGAAAATATAACAGGTTCCCTGTCTTCAAGCTTGTAATCTTACTGCATCTAGTCCCAAGTGGTCAGTATTGACTGTGTTCCTTGTGCATACAAAGTAGTATAGCAAAAGACCGCTTGAAAAAAGGCCAAAGTCAAAATAAATCAAGTTACATGAAAATCCCTTTAAATAAAATTAACTTCTCCCTTTCCTTTACAATAAAATGGGTAGACATTTTTGTTTTGAATATTTTATGGGTACAAAATTATATAAAGGCTCACTAGAACTTAGATTTAAATATCTAACACTCACCACGCCACTGCATGACTTTGTTTTCACGTCCAGTTTCACCAACCCAAAACCTTAAAGCAGAGAGCAAATTATAGCAATAGTTGACTATACATTAAAAAAAGAATCAAGCCGAAACCATTTGGCTCAGTGGATAGAGCTTCAGCCTGTGAACTGAAGAGTCCCAGGTTCGAATCCGGTCAAGGGCATTTAAGTACGGTACCTTGGTTGCCAGCACATCCCCAATAGGGGGTGTGCAGGAGGCAGCTAATTGATGTCTCTCTCTCATCGATGTTTCTAATTCTCTATCCCTCTACCTTTCTCTCTGTAAAAAAAAAAAAAAAAAAAAAAAAAAAAATCAATAAAAAATATTTTTAAAAAAATAAAGAATCAAGAATTCACATACTGCCAGGACCGGTTTGGCTCAATGGATGGAGCGTCGGCTTGGGGACTGAAGGGTCCTGGGTTCGATTCCGGTCAAGGGTATGTACCTTGGTTGCGGGCATATCCCCAGTAGGAGGTGTGCAAGGGGCAGCTGATCGATGACACTCTCTCATCGATGTTTTTGGCTCTCTATCTCTCTCCCTTCCTCTCTGTACAAAGCTCAATAAAATATTTAAAAAAAAAAAAAGAATTCACATACTGGGAGGGATTAAAATGTACAATAAAACACAACACTCAAGGAAAAATTTTAAATTATTCTACGTAAACTGGCATGTAAAGAACGGAACATCTCCGCATCTTTGCCTAGTGTTTTGGTGTATTAGCTGGCACCAAATAAAAATAAAATAAAATGCAGCTTTCAAACCATTCTAAAACCTAAAAATGAAAATCAATTCAAACCTCATAATAGCCAATAGTTTACAATAAATATTTAGAACTTTTATCGAAAAGGGCTTATCTCTCTCTTGGGATTAATAATCTAAATAACTGGGGAATAATCTAAAGTAGAAAGTGGGAGGAGGGTTGTGGAACCAAATCTTTGAGAGAGAAAAAAAACCACACACAAATTCACTTAACAAATTCCCTTGAAAAAGTCCAAAACAGCCGAAACCGGTTTGGCTCAGTGGATAGAGCGTAGATCTGTGGATTGGGGGGGTAGGGGGGGGTAATCCCCCCAGGTTTGATTCTGGTCAGGGACTTGTACACTGGTCGCAGGCACATCCCATCCCCGGTGGGGGTGTGCAGGAGGCAGCTGGTTGATGTATCTCTCTCATCGATGTTTCTACCTCTCTATCCCTCTCCATTCCTCTGTGAAAAGTCAATAAAACAAATTTTTTAAAAAGCAAAAATCCAAAACAGTAATACATAACAACAGGAATAATTCTAGTCAACCAAGGTCTAAACTATATCTGAAAGAAATGAAAACACCAGCTGTTTTTTTCTTAAAGGTAAAATCCTTGAAGGACAGTTTGAGAATATTGGAGGAAATTGGGGGAGAAGGGGATGTGGACTGTTACAGAACTATTTTAACAGAAATCTTACATAAAATGTATCTAAAGAATAATTAATGCAGCAAGATATTTACAATTTGTAGAAATTAATTTCACTAAGCAATCCAAACACACATTTTCACCTCCAGTTTAAAAAAAAAAAAAAATTTAAGTTCTTACCAAATCCTTTGTTGAAAATATCTCTGGCAGCTTTGCCAAGGTCAGCATATGATGGAGGAATACACATTGCTGGTGAAAGAAAACATTACAGTGTTAATGTTTCTGTTCTCCACTTCTGTCCAAGAACTAGATTATGACCCACTGCTATCTTTAAATTCAAACTGTCCAATAAAAAAAATAAGGAAAATAAATGGGAGCAGTCCAATTTGTTGATGTGTTTTTTTCTTTGTTTGTTTTGTAAGACGAACAGCTTTATTAAAAAATTAAGACAAAATAAATGAAGTAGCTAAATAAAAAAAGAGGATAGCAAATTTGGGGCATCCAGGAGTCCAGCAGCCCGAATGTTGATGTGTTTTTTGACACCACCACAAGTTACATGAAAACTACCCTATAGCTCTATTAAAGAGAGATGTCTAACCACAGTGACTATATACAAAGTTGGGAAATTCCTTCCAAAAGAAAGTCTTTCTATTCCTAAATTTGCAGTGCCTACAGCCTTGCCTCCTAGAACAGGACTAGTACAAAGACTCACACACATATATCTATCCTTATAGTTGTATCTTCCAAAGCTCACTGCAGTGGGCTGATTTTATTTAACCAAATGAGATAAAATGAAAACCTAAGACGAGGTCCTCTCCCCTCCACATATCCCTTAGTATTCTCAGAGATCAAAACATTCTGGGGTGGGGGAAGAGAAAGGTACCCAATACTTTGGGAATTTAAAAACTAAACTTAAAAAAAATAATAATACAGCCATCTACGTCTCAGTCAAAAAATGTCTACAACTAAGTAGTAAATGGCATTTTTACACACATTAATGGGAGTCTCCTCAGCCAATGCCATTGGATTTAAGGGCGAGCGATCTGAGCCAACACCGGCTCATTCATTCTGCAAAGTGCGCCCACGCCCTTCGGATAAGAGCACGTGTGATGACCTTGCGCTCCCGCCGGCAGGGCAGTTACTACTTCCTCTAGAAAAGTGACTGACCCATTCCCCCCAAAAACCAAACCCCACAATTAATAACTTTTTTGCTTTCGAGTTCGCCAAAAACCGAAGGTGAATGCGGCCCCGGACCAGCTCCCCTGGCCTAGTCCCTGTACCCGAAACCCAGCAGCCCTGCCCCTCTGCTCCGCGGAGCCCGGGGGGTCGGACCCGGGGAGTGGCTACCGAAGAGGGCGAGGTCCCCGGTCCCCGGAGAAACGGGGGGTGCAGGGAGCGATGGGGGGGGGGGGACGGAGAGGAGGAATTGCGGTTATCCGGCCCACAGGCTTCGGCTCCCAGAACCCACCGCCCGGCCCGCGGAGAACCCGCTGTACGTACGCCGCGAGCAGCTCTGTCCGTAGGTCGCCATGGCGAGGCCGCGGGAGGAGGTGGTCTGCGGAAGGACAAGAAGCGCAGTCAGCGGGAGTGAGGGGGAGGCAGAGGGGCCGGAGGGGCTGAGAGAGAGAGGGGGGAGAGGGGCGAGGGGCCGCGGGGCCGCGCGGCCATTTTAGGGAGCCGGGCCGACCCCAACCCCCCCGCTCGGGCCTCCCGTTTGGCCGCCTCACTCCCCGGCCCGAGTGAAGCGGACGCCGCGGCACCTAGTGATCTCCTGGGGGGGCCGTCCCGCCGCTCCGCTCGCAGCTGAGGCCGCCTGGCTCGCTCGGCGTCGGGCTGCGGCTGCTGCGGTGGAGGGCGAAGTGAAGGAGACACCGTTCCGCCCGCCGCAACCCAGTCCTCCCCCTCCAGGCCCCCGCCGCCAGCCCCGGGCTGTCTGCCGCGCCTGTCCCCACAACGCCGCCCGCCGCCCGCTTCCAACCTGCTCCGCAACGGCTGCGGGCACCAACGGCACCCCCGCCCCCTGGGTGGGCCACCTCGGTCCGTCGGCGGGGGCCGGAGTGGCAGACGCCGCGGGCCCTCCGCTCAGGCAGCTGCGCGGGCAGCCCCCGACGCGAGAGGGCGGGGAACGGCGGGTGTAGCGCGGTGGGTGCCGCGCGGGGGGGAGGGGCGGAGGCCCGGCGCGCGCTCGTCACGGGGGGCGGGGCGCCTGGCGCGCGTGCGCGCGCGAAAGAACGACTGGGCGCGGCCGCACGCCCCGCGGGTCACGTACGCTCTCCCACTCCCTTCCCGCGCTCGGGCTCCCTAACCCGGCCGGCCGCCCCCGGGCAGGGCGTCTTCTAGGGGCCAGAGGGCGTTATCCCGGTTGCCCTGGGCAACGTGTGCTTCTGAAACAGCCTCCCTCCAGATCCCGGAGAGACGGGCGGGCACCGGGACAGCATCCCAGGCCCCGGCCCGCCGTCCCGCCGTCCCTCCATCCGCCTCCTAAGGCGCTGCAATTGCCGCTCCGCCGGGAGGGGCTCTCGGGGCTGCCCCTCCCTGAACAAACTGGGTGCGCCTCGGGGCGCCCCGCCCCCTTCTCGGCTCACGCCGCCGCCTCTCCATCTAGCGGAGGGATGCTCTGCACTGGGAGGAAACCAGCTGTCACGGGGAGCTCCGCTGACCTGGCCTGACAGCGCTGCACCAGCCACCTGGGTGTGCAGGAGAGTGAACGAGCCTCCTAATGAGACAGACATGGAGTCAACGGGCTCCCAAGTCAATGTCCAACCTCAGCAGTTTATCCTCTCCGGACCCCAGTTTTCTCATCTAAAATGACAACGTTAAATGAGATGACGTGGCTTTTATTTTTTTGTTATTGACAGTATGACAAGTGTCTCCCATTTCCCCCTCCTTTGCCCCCGAGGTAAAGTGGTCTATTTGGGTTTTTTTTTTAATATATTTTAATGATTTTTTACAGAGAGGAAGGGAGAGGGATAGAGAGCTAACATCGAGAGAGAAACATCAACCAGCTGTCTCCTGCACGCCCCCTACCGGGGATGTGCCCGCAACCAATGTACATGCCCTTGACCGGAATCGAACCTGGGACCTTCCAGTCCGAAGACCGAGGCTCTATCCACTGAGCAAAATCAGTTTCAGCTGAAGTGGTTTTAATAGCCATTCAGCGGTGGACCATGAGAGATCCCCCGCCACCATTCCCTCTGGCCCCAAAGGCCACCGCGGCTCAGGTGCTGCCGGGGTCCCTCCCTCCTCCATCAGGAAGAGGGGGTTTGGGGAGCTTCCACAGTCCAAACCCGATGACAGCTGCCGGGGTGGATGCCCTCCCTTGGCGGGCCCAGCCAGCAATCTCACCTGGTCACGGGAGGGATTGCTGTATCCCGGTAAGAAGGCTCAGAGCAGAGTCTGCTCGGAGTTCAGGCACCAGAAGCTCTCATTCTCGTTCAAGCTCCAACAGGTTGGGCTGAATCAGCCTGGCTGGGCCGGGAGCAGGTCTGCTCTGGCCCGTGTTTGATGCTATTGTGAGGCTAATAGAGATTAGCATCCCATCCCAACCGGAGCGTAAACACCACCACCCAGAGAAACCTAGTCTCCCCTCAGCCACCCACACCTGCAGGAGGACTTATCCACACTGAGCTGCAGTTGTCGCCCTCATCCGCGGCTTCGCTCTCTGAGGTTTCAGTTACCTGTGGTCCAATGAGGTCTGAAAATATTAAATGGGAAGTCCCAGGAATAAACAGTTCATGTTTTAAATTGTGTGCTGTTATGCCGAAACCGGTTTGGCTCAGTGGATAGAGTGTCGGCCTGCAGACTGAAAGGTCCCAGGTTCAATTCCGGTCAAGGGCATTCCCAGTGGGGGTGTGTGCAAGAGGCAGCTGATCAATGTTTCTCTTATTAATATTTCTAACTCTATCCCTCTCTCTTCCTCTCTGTAAAAAATCAATAAAATATATTTTAAAAAATAAAATAAATTGTGAGCTGTTTTAAGTAACGAGATGAAACCTGGCTCCTTTCTCACTCACTCCCACCCTGGGTGCGGGTCATCTCTTCCTGCCTGTCCGTGCTTAGTAAATGTCTTGGGTTACCAGGTAGACTGTCAGGGGATAGCAGTGCTGGCATTCAAGTCACCCTTATTTTACTTAATAATGACCCCAAAGCACAAGAGTAGAGATGCTGGCAACTCGTTATGCCAAAGAGAAGCTGTAAAATGGGTGTCTGTATAGGATAAAACTATTATATCTACCGGGCCAGTGCTTTCTGTGGCTTCAGGCATCCCCTGGGGGGCCTTGGCACTTATCCCCTGTGGGTACGGGGTGTGGAGGAAAAAGGGGTTCTCTGGAAAGTAACCTCACAGGGTGATCTGATCATAAATTCCCTAGGAAAAGGTTTATCTTTGCCTCGGCAAGCCTTGTCCATTGTTCTTGCACATCTAGGTTACCAACCTGTGTAATACTCCTCAAGAGAAGTAACCACCTTCAAGAGATTAACTCGTCTGTAATCCAGTCCCCACCTTACTTTCTCCCACGTTCATGTAATCTTTCTTAAATTCTATCCTTGAGTATCGCCCTGCAGACTGAAGGGTCTCAGGTTCAATTCCAGCCAAGGACATATGCCTGGATTGTGGGCCTGATCCCCAGTAAGGGGCGTGCAGGAGGCAGCCAAGCAATGATTCTCTCTCATCATTGATGTTTCTTTCTCTCCCTCTCCCTTCCATCTCTGAAATAAATAAAAATGTATATTTAAAAAAATTATGAAATTCTCCTTACCTTCAAATCCCTAAAAGAAACTGCAAAACTGTTATTCTCCAGAGCATTTGAGGTCTTGCTTCCTAGTCATTGTCATCAGTTTTTGCTCAAATAAATTCATAAAAATTCACTACTGGTTTAGAAGTTCTTAGTCAACAGGGGGGACTACTGTATCTGTAGCATTTTTTAAATATATATTTTATTTTCATTTCAGAGAGGAAGGAAGAGAAAGAAAGAAAGATAAAAACATCCATGATGAGAGAGAATCATTGATTTACTGCCCCATGCACAGATCGAGCCTGCAACCTGGGCATGTGCCCTCACCAGAAATCGAATCATGGCCTCCCAGTTCATAGGTTGATGCTCAACCAGAGCCATGTCGGCTGGACTATCAGTAGCATTTTAAACCCCAGAGAAGTTCACTTTGCTGCAGAACACTGATCTGAGGCTTTGCCATCTATAAACCCAAGGAATATACATATTTACATAATTCCTAATAATCAGGAAAAGAATCATGACAATTGGCCTGGATGAGGTTGGTTGATCTATTTGGAAATGTCTTTTGTGTGAAGTGTATCCTTGGGCATGTGGAGGTATTATTGATTTGAGAAAATGCTAAGTAACTGATTTACTATATGAAAAATTTAAAGTTCTGAAAGTTTAAGGTCTCTTGCCAAAAAGAGGTTTTAAAGCTAACACCTTAATTTTAAAGGGAATGACAAGCCCTTCCCACCCAGAACAGATAATACAATTCCAACCAGCAGCTATGTTTAAACAATGTGTCCATTTATGGGAGGGGAATGGACTGACTGTTCTCGGGGAAAGGGAGGAAGAGACTGAACATAAACTGTGCACCTATGGATGAGGACAATGGGAGGTGGGGAGGGGGCGGAGGGTGGGGTGGGAACCTGGTGGAAGGGGGAAGAAATGAGGAACTTTTGTAATAATATGAACAATAAAGATTGATTTAAAAAAAATCATGACAATTTATTTCAAAGTTGATATATATATATATATATATATATATATATATATATATATATATATTTTCCAAAGCCCTAAAGCCAATGCAGCATTATCTGCATCACCTGTAGGGAAAGCAAAGTCCATTCAGATGCAGTCCCTGCTCTCAAGGCACTTACAGCATGTGATGTCAAGAACTTGGAAAGGCCTAAGCTTTTACCCCACTTTCCTGCTAGAAGGAAGCCTGCCATGGTTTCACAGGCTCGTAGGTTCTGGCAGGAGACATGAGCCTGGAAGGTCAGAGACAAAGGACTGTGTTACTAGTGGCACAGCAGAGAGCATAAGCTTCCTGTTCAGATCAGCTCCCCTTGTCCTCTGTGGCCCACAGGGTCATGCAGGCCAGCCTGTGACTCAGAGGGAGGCAGTCGTATATTTGTCAGGAAATAAAATCTGCCCTTTCCCCAGGAGACACTGCCCCTAGCTCCTAAGACAGTTTGAGATCAAAACTGTCACAAGACCTGCAGAAACACCATGGAGGATTGTCCAATAACAAAGGATGGGGATTCAGAAGTTGCCAGTGCAATGCTAAACATAAGCACACAGAACTGTGGGCACCATCAGACTGAGGAAACACTTGCACTACCGTTTGAAAGTAGGACTTGTCAAAATGAAAAAGGCAATAGGTCAAGGATGGAAAGGCAACATTCTAGAAAAAGGCATGTGCGAGCTTGAAGTGGCAAGAATCATTTGGAAACCACAAGTGATTAAGATGGAAACATCTATAGAAAAAGTTGAGAGACTAGTCTAAAGATGTTGACTGGAGTCAAATCCT